TGTTAAAATCAACAATAATTACGACAGCATCCGTGACACGGATGAAAAGAACTAATCACGACCACATGGTCCCCCACTTACCCTACACCTTCAGCATACCCACAGGTCATGCTCTTCGTTTGCAGGCCAGTTCAGAGCCAGAAAATGTCCAGATCAACCCACAGTGGATCTCCAGGAGACCGTGGGGTAGCTCTGAGATGCGTCTCATTTTCCTCGTCCTAGTTTGCCTCTGCAGGGTAAAGCAGGGCTTCTCAACCTGAGCTGCAGGTTATGAGTCACCTGGGGAGATTTAAAAAGGTCCCAATGCCCAGGCATCACCCCCAGAGATTCTGATTTAACTGGACATGTGGGTCCAGAGCGTCACTGCTTTCAAAAGGCTCTCGAGGTGATTCTCTGTGCAATCAGGGTAAGACGTGTGGTGTCTGAACAAATTCACCTTTGGGAAACGAGAACAGTTTAGGGGAGTCGTTGGAGATGAAGGTGGGAAAATTGCAAGGACAAAGAAAGATGGTGGAAAAAAAATTCCAATCTATACCCAAACGACATTTCAGCAATGTATCGCTTTTGTGAAAAGTCAGCTAGAAGGCAAAGGATGCGTTTGTCAGGGAGAACATTTGAAGCGTGGGACTTTTAATCTTATAATCTAAGTCTGAGCCTTTGCTCTGCCATTGAACAGCTGTGTGTCCTGTTGCGAGCCACTTAATATTGCTGAACCTCACGTTCTTTGTCTGCAAAGTGGAGATAATAATACCTACCTCACAGGAGTGAAGTCAGGCTCAAACGCAGAAGCCAAACATGGGAAAGCATCTTATGTACTACCAAATCCTATATAGATGACAGTTGTGGCTGCTATTGTGAACGGTAACAGTGGCTTCCACCCTAATTTATGTTTTCAAGTGCATTTGCCTTGATAATTGAAGGCAGAGAAAGCGTAACTGTTCTAGCTGGGTCCAATCCACATCCACAGGATATTTACTTTAAAAGGGCTTTAAAGATCATTATAAGTTAATGTCTTAAATCTAATCTGACTTCCTGGGCACAAATAATCCTTAGAGATTGCAGTCAATTTCAAGAGACAAGCTGGAAGGGTGTTTATACAATTTTAAAGTAAAAAGGCATTCTAGTCTGGAAAGTGCATAGGAGAAACATCAATAGACATCACCTCCTCAACTTCTTTGTGCTTGATGCCAGTTCCTGCCCTTTGCGGTACATAGACACACACACAGACACAGACGCGCACACACACACACACATACAGCTCCGACGTTTTTGATGAACTCTGGGTTTGTTTGGGGCTATGTGTGCCTTACTCAAACAAATGGAAACCAGGGCTGCATGAGGTCTTCTCTTTCTTTTTCCGTTTAATATTTAAAAAAATAAAGACCGCTTTTAGAGCTGAGCAGAAGAGAGGGTGAAAGGGAGCCATCCAGAAGCTGGGGCACTTTTGTCTTGCTAATGCACTTCGTTTTGTGGCAAGATGGGCGGTTCAGACAGATTCAGCCCACCTCATAAGTGGGGAGGCCTAGAGGAGCAAGACAGCTCAAGTGGAAAGCTTGATTGGGGACAAAAGATGCACCTGGAAAGCGCAGACACAATGTCTCCAGAGACCAGGGCCTGTGTTGGGAACTCAATACCCAGCACCACCTGTATGAGGTCCTAGCAGTGTGCATTTGCCTGGATACCACATTTAATTCATCTCGGGAGAAGGAGCTGCTCCTGCAATAAGCCTGAATAAGCCCAGCAGCACTGCACTCACACTCAACAAACACAAAAGGACCCAGGGGAGGAAAGGCAGTATAGAAGGTAGAGGGGCGGGCTGAGAGCTGAGACCTGGGAGGAGTCGTGATTGGTCATCCCTAGAGCTCAACTCTAACAAATTAGCTTCTAAGCTTAAATCCGTATGGTAAACCCAACGTCAGAAACTCTCTCATTGGTTCTGTCTCAGAGCCTCATCGTTATGTCGGTGGCACCCAGGATGTACAGATGGGGAACGTGGAAGGGTCCCAGTTCAGCAGTTCAGTGGTGCTCTCAGGTGCTTCCTTCATCTACCTACCCTCCCTCCCTCCCCTTCTTCCCTCCCTCCCTCCCTTCCTTCCTTCCTTCCTCCCTCCCTTCCATCCTTCCTCCCTCCCTTCCTTCCATCCTCCCTCTCTCCCTTCCTTCCTTCCTTCCATCCTCCCTCCCTCCCTT